GGCCCCGGGGGGGGCGAGCGGGCCCCGCGACTGCCTTCCCGAGGCAGTGCCTGGCAGAGATACTCCGTATTTATTTGCGTTTTTTTAAGGCAGGGCGGGAAAAGGGGTGGGATGGGTGGGGGTGCAGAAGTAATAACTTTTTTGTTTGTTTTCGGCTTTCCTGATGCTGCATTAGATTAGAGCAATAGAGCGTGCTTTGGAAGAAAAACGTAGCACAGAGCTGGGGAGGGGGGGTGGTTGTCGCTTGTGTGAGCAACAGTAATTCTTTTTCCTTTTTTTTTTCTTTTCCTCTAGTTCCTAGGCAATCTATCACGTGTAGCGCAGAGGATAAGGATTAAAAGTAGGTCAGCAGTGATGTAGGGACACATAAGCAATGCAGGCACCCTCAAAAAAGAAAAAAAAATCTGCATAGGAAATAGTGATTTATTTGCGGTGAGTAGAGATTGCTATGATTGAAAAGTACCGCAGTGGTTTAGCAAAGCTGTTGAGTGTTTGAAACTGGCTTTGGTGCTGCAGTTTAGAGGCCCAATCTGAGAACAAAGCTTTTTGCTGCTCTCGGTGCTGGCAGAGTTGAGTATCGCAGTGACTGGGGACCGTAAGGACTCCTGCATCCTGGCCGTGTTCCCACACGGCGCTTGGATTTGGTGTTAACGTTCTTGGTAGGTTATTTCACCCTCCCTCTGCTGGCAATGGTCTCTGGAGCGGTACAGTCAGTGACTGAGCTGTGGAGCTCTGCATTGGGTTCCCGTTTCCATCAGGTCTGTTCCTTAATATTGGCTCACAAATCCAGGAAAGTGATATTAAATATCATTAAATGATAAATGTAGGGTAAATCACATGTACAAATTCTGTAAAGTAATACTTGCAAATAAACTTGTATTTGCTTTTTCGTCGAAAAGGAAAAAACATATTTGTTGCATCAGTATATATGATAACACATGATAGTTCTCCAGCTTGCTTAAAATATACTGATAATCTTAAAGGAAGGAAACTAGGAAAATTCAGTTCTCAGTGCTTCTCTGTTGCTGTCCTGCTTCTCTCTTTTTCTTGCCGCTAATGGGATTAAAAGCTGTTTTGGTTACTATGGCATCCCGTGAGGAGATTACTGTTGGTGAAGATGAACTAAGGTAAAAAAACAACTGCAGCCTGAACAGGTTTGAAAAGGTATCCGCTTTCAGCACTCACTTGTGTGTTTATCTGAGGTTTAAAACTGTTTAAAGGAAAGGATATCTCAGCATCCCCTCCCTCATGGGGAAGGAGAGGAATGTGTGTGTGCCTGCACGGTTGCACTGCTGAATGCTGTAGGTAATATTAATGAAAAGTGTTAGGGACAAGTGTGGGGTTTTGTGTGTGTGTTTGTTTTAATGAAAGAATAAACCTTTGCAATAGCGAACCTGGTTTGCAAGTTTAAAAGGCTAAAACACATAGTATTCTAATTGGTCTATGAAAGTATCAGTGAGTGCCAAGAAATTGCAGAGCTGTCTGTAAGCATCTGGAATTTAAGTGTAGTTTAACTCTGTCATCTGCTGTGGACGTTGTAGAGGTTAGATGGATAAATGTTCTTGTGCGGTGCTAGTCAACCTGTTCACCTGTCTTTGTGTGCATTTTCTGTGCTATGCTTCATCATATTTGAATGTCTTTTCAAGAAAATAAAAAACCAATTGGCTATACTTATTCTTCCAAGTCTCATTTTTTCATTTGTAAAAAGTGGTTTGCTGTGAAGTAGTGAAGCTTTGAGCTAAATTCAGCAATGTTCTAATTCTCTCAGCCACAATTAATTAATTTTGTTGGTGTTTCTGTAGGTCCCGCTACAGTCACGTAGAGAAGATGACAGATTTGGTGGCCGTTTGGGAAGTAGCTTTAAGTGATGGTGTTCATAAGATTGAATTTGAACACGGGACCACTTCAGGAAAGCGTGTTGTCTATGTTGATGGAAAGGTGAAATTATTATATGCTCAGAATTCATTATGATACAGACTGTGATTCCAGACAGAATGCATCAGAACGAACAAAAGGCCAATAAATGCAAGTGAGGTGTATTCACTTGGCTAACTTAAGCCATATCACCCTCTTAAGTTACAGTTATTAAATTATGTAAAGTCATGAGTATCTATGAAGTTCTTTGCAGTCCTTGGGCAGAGGCACACTGTGCATGTGTTATTATACAATAAAGTACTCACTCTAGCTCAAAATTTCTCAATCATGAGACATATTCAGGTTTATTAATTTATACCAATTGTCTTTGTTTTATTCTACAGGAACAAATAAGAAAAGAATGGATGTTTAAGTTAGTGGGTAAAGAAACATTCACTGTTGGGGCAGCTAAAACAAAAGCCGCTATTAACATTGATGCGGTCAGTGGCTTTGCATATGAATATACTTTGGATATCGATGGGAAGAGCCTCAAGAAGTACATGGAGAACAGGTCAAAAACAACCAACACGTGGATTCTGAGCTTGGATGGCACAGTGTGCAGAGTTGTTCTGGGTAAGGACATACTGAATGACTTTGTTGCCAAACTTGCACGTATTTATTAAGTGGCAGGGAAGAGAGGCATTGATCAGTGGCTGTTTGCAGTGTAAAATGCTGGGTGGTCCAGAACTACTTTGGAGTTAGTCAGCTAACTCCAAACTAGTTAACTAAGAAGTCAGTCTGAAGATTTCCCATGACATCTTTTTTTCTTGCTTAAAAGCAAGGCAGTGCATTTATTCTCTTCCTTCCCCTTTTCCCTAAAATATCACAAGTAGATGGGTAGAAGGAAGCTACTGGGAAACTTGTGTCTGTTGTATCTGGTAGGAGAAGCTTCCACTTGCATATTGCTGTAAAACTAGACCCAGAAATGAGATCTGGAACTATGATTTCTTAGTTGATACTAGGGCACTCATTCTGTCCTAAAGTTTAATAAGACTGTGTGTGTGTTTGGGTGGGGGGAAGTAAAGTAGGGGAGAATGGAGAAATTCTAATGTATGACAAAGCCGTCTTGGTTTATTTGCAGTTTTTTGCTTTCCCTGTACTTAATTAAAAGGCAGGCAGGGTTCACCAGGCTGATCATTGCCAGTGGAGGGCAGTGTCAGTAAGGTGAAATCTGGAGCTAATGAACTTAGGGTTGTGCTGGGAAAAACGAAGAATTTACAATTGTTTTCTTTAAAAGAGTATTATTCTAGTATGGGTGGCATCTGAGTTTTCAGGGAGATTTTAAGAACTCAGAAACTCCAAGTTATAAAGTAAAGCTGCTCTTGAATCTGAAATTAGTTAAAATCAGAACTCCATTGAATAATCTGTGCTAACATTTCAGGACTGATTAATTCACTTTTCTGTATTCAAGTTTTTCAGTTTGTGGATGTCAAAACACTCTGACAATATTCAGAGCAATCTACTAGTAATACCAGAGCTAGGGAGAGGTGTGTTCATAGCCAAAGTTGTTTGCCCATGGCTGACGAGGATTCTGTTTCTGCCGTTTAAAAATGGGCTGTGTAGCCCATGTACTCCAGTTAAATAAAAAACTTCTTTAGGGAATTCAAGTAAAATGGATCAGGACTTGGAGGTTGGGTTTGCTTTGGTCTCCTAAATCTTCCTGGGGGCGGGGGAGGCAGGGGAGAGAGTTGTTTTTTCTACTTTTTATTCTCCTTTTTCCTTCACAGAAAAGGACACTATGGATGTGTGGTGCAATGGTAAAAAGCTGGAAACAGCGGTATGTGATTGTTTTTTCAATGCCTTTCTATAGGTTGTGGCTCTCTAAGTAAAGCTTATGGATAGAGATATGTATCACATACACATACTGTAGCTTATTTTACGAATCAACACTTAACATTTTTGTTTTACTGACAGCACTGACAAAGCAATACATGAGACTTTACAGCCTTGTTCCACACTTGAGCTCTATGGCTGCTCTAGCTATGGAGCTGAAAATGATTGGGACCTTAGAAACAGTTTGCACTGAGACTTTATTTTACTAAAACAGCATTTGTCTATTATATTATCCCTTTTCTCCTAGGGTGAATTTGTAGAAGATGGGACTGAAACTCACTTCAGTGTTGGTGATCATGAGTGTTGCATTAAGGCTGTCAGTAGTGGGAAACGAAAGGAAGGAATTATTCATACCCTTATTGTGGATGACAGAGAAATCCCAGAGGCTGTGGAGTAGCCTCTGCATGACTGATTGTTGTAGAACTAAAAGATCAGGAATTTTTAATTACTGTGGTAATTATTTTAATATGTACTACTTAGTACATCTACTTTGTGCTGGTTTTATTTTCTAGCTTCTGTATCTGAAATTCATCTTTTTGAGGACCAGATGAAAATAATTATATACAACCACCTACATAATATTTTTTATTATTATATATATTACATGGTGCAAGGAGGGCAGGTGGACTAAAGTAGAAGTTATATTTTTTAAAAAAATGCTATAATAAAAGGCAATATTCGTATTCAGTAAGACTAAATTCTTTTAAGCTGCAGGAGTGAGGAGAAAGCACGTGCTGGGTGCTAGAGTAAGCTGTTAATTTTCTCAATTATTTTTTTCTATTACACTAACATTCAAAGTTTTTTTCAGGTGCGGTCAGGAAAATAGTCATGTAAGTCAAAGATTATTATAGAAATGTACATTTCCAATATTTGTATAATAGTATTAAAATAAAAATGAGCATTGAAAACTGTTCTTCCTCTATCCTTTTATTCAGAGTAAGAATAAAGATTCGCTTTGCCAGAAGGAAACTGCACTTGCTCCATAAATTTTGGGAGTAGCTGGGAAACTCTATAGTGAGCTTAAATTCAGATGGGATAAACTCCAGGATAGCTTTTAGTTTTGGGCAATGGTGTTTGTCTAATTTTGGTTTGTCTTTAAACTCTGCTAAAATTTAAAAGAATCCAAGGCACAACCAAGATTTATTTTGTTCCATTAATATATGTGTTATCTCAGATTACATAAACTCCCATTCATTATTATGCTTTCTTAGACAGTCGCATGCTAAGACTACTTTCAGACAAACTAAGCGAGCATTTCTGTGCATAGATGACTTTGCGTGAAACTCCTTCAGCAATCAAGGTGTAGTAATTCATAGAGGTTTCCAAGGCGTCATAAGGCACTTTGCTTAAAAGAACATGTTTTAAGAGCATGCTCTTGGTATCTATGCTTTGTTTTGAAGAGGTTTCCACATAGCTATAGTTGTGCTTAATCCATCCACAGGGCACTGCTGGCCTTCTCAGAGGCCCCAGACCCTCCACCCTGAATCTGTAAACAAGTCAACAAATACTGGGGAAGGGCCTGAATGCTGTTGAAAATGACAAAGGTGTCAGGGGTGTTCACATCATCCACTACGCTGTGATACTCTGCCCTGACGTCTCCCTCCATGAGTGGTGGCATAATATAAGACTCTTTACCTTTAGTGTATAACCCTGTTAATACCTCAGCCTCAAACACATACATTTTAGAATCTCTTTCCTGCTTGTTTTTACCCTGGATTAGGCTTTTGGGGTTCCTCTTAAAGTAAATGCCAGATCCGTAGTTTTGCTCTGGGAGGAGAGAAAAAAAAAAAAAAAAAAAAAGATCAGCTTTAAGAATTTCGTCTCTTAGAACTGTAGCACTAAAGGGTTGCTTCTTGATTCAGCATGTTGCTGAATAAGTTTCCATTAAGTGTCTGCTGAAGCTTTACAGTGTTACAAGTGTCTGCACCTGTTCTTTCCTCTAGCACTAGCCTTGAACATGAGCCATAAGGGCTGCTGGTCATTCCGATTTAACTGCTACTCCCCTCACAGAAATTATCAGGTGAACAGTTATCTGTCATCATAAGCTAGGCACTCTGATAAGAAAACAAAAAAAAAGCAGCTTGGGCTTTATAAGAATACCACATTATAAAGCTTTACAGTATTGTGTGGAAAAGAACATATGTATTGCAAAGAAACAACATTAGATGGTCATCCTTTTTATTGTATGTCACAAGCAGAGCTGCTTTCTGGCAAGTTTACTGCCTGACGTCCTAATTACATACTTGAAATGCAGTAGCACGTGAGGGTTTTTTGCTTGTCATCAATTGCAGGAAAACAAGGTGAATGCTTATTCTTTCCAGCTCTGAAAGCCTCTTGAACACTATCTACCACAGTATTTTGTAAAAGCCATAACAAGGAGCTTTCTCTTGGAGTGTTTTTATTTACTTTCTTCTTAAATGTACTCTGAATGGCAGTCTGCTTATTCAGAGTATTTATCTGATCTTACTTGTTTTGAGCAGGGCGTTGGACTACATGACCTTGAGGGCACCTTCTGGCCTCTATTATTCTGTGATTCCTTTGTGGAGGTTCCAAAGCACTAGGCTGCTAAATGTGCGTTTTTAACAAGTGAGTAAGCGCCTCTTGTTTAGAGCAATGCAACAAAATAAAGGCTCAGACGTGGCACTATGTGTCTGTTAGCAGTTCTGTCAATAATGGCTGGGCTACGCTAGAACCAAATATTAAAATCTTACTACAGACAAAAGGTTAAGCTCATGTGAGTCTAAATAGTGGTAAGAACCAGTGCATGTGTGGGAAAGTCATTTATTTCTGACTTTAACCCAGCTTCAGCAGTCAAGTCACTGTTCCTTTTGACCAAAGATACAAAAGCAATTACCTGGCGGTGGTGAGTATGTCCTGTGGAATCCAGTTTGGCATACCAAGGTGCAGAACTGAACAGGGACTTGCTGGTACAACGTGTGGCTTGTTTTGGAGGCAGCTCCTTTTTCTTCCATTCTTGTTTTCATTTGTTTGAATGCAGCAGATAAAAGAGGATTATGTATTTTTTCTACCTGCAACATAAATAGCAGTGACAACAGGAAGAGACTGCAGTCAGTAAAACGCATGGATGCCCTAGCTCAGACTACGTTCTTCAAACTGACAAGAGGACCAGTGGACACCCCAGGCCTACAGCAATAGTTTAGACCAGGGGCCTGCAAGGCCCTTTTGGCAAAGCCAGACTCTACCTCACCACTCAGCTAAAAAACTCAAGCTCCTCCCAGATGCCAGGCAGAGAGTTTCAAAGTGCTCAACCTGACTCGCTGCTAATCAAATTACAAACTTGGTTGCTAGTTTTCAGTATCAAGCTCAGAAGAGACACCACATTAAAGTGTCCTAAAAGACACTAGCATTGTAATATCTGAATTTTGTATTTCTTTTAGAGTCTTTTAAAGGAATATTTGAGGCATGAAATAAAAGACAAAATACATAGTACCTTTAAAAATATAAGAATCCAACCATACTTTTCCAGTAATTACGTGCTGTATGTTTAAGATACTAAGTGTTCTATTGGAAGTAAAGCCAGATCTATTTTAAGGCTTAGAATAATTTGATCTTACTCTTTAAAAGCAATATACTGAAATAGTTCAGCAGAGTTTAAATTAAATATTGTTAGTTCAAATGAACTTTATCAATCGAGATTTAACTTGGCAATCAATACCCTCTTTACCTTGAGAATCTGAAGCCCAGCTTTTTCAAACTGCTTTTGTCTGTATATAAACTCCTGCTGGTTGAATTCCACTGGTGAAACCTGAATGAGTGCCTTGTTCTTTGCCATGTCAAGGTCTTCTGAAAGAGGACCTGCTTCCAGCTGGCCTGAATGCAAACAAGGGAATAAACATTTTATACATAACAATACCTGGAGTAAAGGAAAACAGAAGGCATCCAAAACTTTATTTTGGTAGCTTAATTAAAAAGAAAGAATACTTAATACTTCCCTGAAGCCAAGACAAAAACAAAACAAAAAACAAAACAGGTTATCACCTAACTCACCTATCTTTCACAGGGAATTTTTAGGAGCACAGTGATGCTGAACATTAGTATTGAGAGGACTTAGTATCTTGTTTTTTTGTTTGTTTGTCCTAAGGGATACATAGCTCCTGTAAGTCATTGATGTGCTTATGGCTAAAGCATTGTCTGGAGTTTTATTATTTTCTATTTTAACAGAAATAAAAGCATTACCATTTATCAAGAATGTTTTGGGCCTTTTTTCAGAGGCTGCTAAAGTTAGTGGAGCAAAAAGTCCCATTAAAAAAAAAAAGATAAAAATAGCCTGTCCAGATGTAGGAATATTTAAACCAATTCAGTCTGCTGGGAACTCTGCTCTTATTGTTACTTCTGGACATTTAGTAAATGAACAAGAGAAAAAAGGGAATAAAAGAAAAACAATGTCATCTCCTTTACATTTCTCCACTACCTATCTTCTACCAGTAGGTTCTATCTACTGCAGGACAAGTCTATTGCTGGGCTCCGCATCAGAGCTGCAGCTGGTAGCTAACAGAAGAGTGCAGCAAGGTACGGGCTAATTTGGTGCAAATTTCCTAAGTGTCCTGTAGTCAGACTTTAAGGTTACCCTGTCCTGGAGGAACCAGCAGCAGAGGTGGATGCACAATGACAGCCAGCCCCAGTACAAAGTGTGACCCACTGGGGATTCTGGCCAGTGAGCAGCTGAAGTCAGCAAGGTAATGCGTCCTACTCACTGGTCCTTCAGGGGCTCGCTCAATAAAAATACAATAACCCCAGGAATTACAATAATATACCACGCTTATGAAGTGTTGTACACATCTGTCCACTACTAGCAACACAAAGATCTGTGCTGCTTCATCCTTGTTATTTATGCCAACTTATATCTCTTATTTACTTAACACACCCCAAAACCGCAACAGTTCTTCCTGTTTGGCTGTAGTCTTCTCTTGCATACGAAGGAGTAATTTTTCAGTTGCAAGAACTGCATCAATGACAGCACTAGGGGGGCCATGAAATTTTAGTCTTGCTTTTCCATCTCTCACTTCTTCTGATATTCGTACGCTGAAATGCTGCTCTCGAGCTAGTTCTGCAAACTCTTTTTTACCAAGGCTAAAGATGTAGTTGTTTTCAATAGTCGCACAGTGACTTTCCTGAGTTTCTAGCAGGTTTTGGATCCATAGTTCTGCTGCTTCCAATGTTGCAGCGATGTACCCCTTAAGTTCAATAGCTGTTTCATTGTTTGTATTTTCTTTTACACTTTGTCTGCCTGACTCTGCACCTGGAAGAAAGATTGTTTTAAATAAGAACAGAGAAAGAGGAAAATGTTTTCAAGTGCTGTCACAAATTTCTATATATAGGCTAAGACCATGTAGTAGGTGCGGAGTATTCTATTCTTCTAGTATGCTCAAGGCAGAGATTAAACACCACAAGGTAAAATTTCTAGGAAAAAAAAAATCCCAAACGTGGAATTTATTTGCTGTCCCCAAATGACTTCCGACAACAATTAGGCACCGACTGTCATTTTTACTTCTAAGGGAGCACCCGATCCCATCCCTGTTAATGTCAGTAACAAATCCCGTATGACTGAAGTAAAGACAAAATTAACAAAACTGGTATGCCCTTTTGCAATTTTGCTGGGGAAAAGAATAACCAATGCATTTTGGATTTGTGCTCTTTTCTAAGCAGGAAATAGATGAGTGCAAGTATTTCACTCATGCTCACCCTGCACTACTGTGTTTCAAGGGGCAACACATTTTCTGTGCTCAGACGTTTCCTGAGACAGGAATCTTCATGATTCCCAAGTTCTTTGCAGAGACCTGACATATTGTTGACTTGTACCCAGGAATCTCTCTCTGGTTTCTGTGAAAGGGCTCAGAACAATTTCTGCACTTTTCTGAATGGAAAATTCACTCCTGGCCTTAGTCATGTGTTCTTTTCTGCTCTAGTGCCTACTGGCAGTGTCCTAACCAAGAGCTTAACCAGAAAGGAACAGAAAACCAGAGGGGAGAGGGCAAAGGCCTTGTTCCCAACAATACAGGTTTATTGTGCTTGTTCGATGTGACAAAGCTCTGCAGCACAGATGTGAATGTAGCCAGGAAGAACCTGCTGAAGCTTCATGCTAATTATAATAATTAAGCCAGGAAAAGTTAATATTCAAAAAAGATATTTAAAAGATATGGAAAGGATAGACCTTGCGAAGGTGGAACAAGAAGAGAACTGACATAACCTTGCCCTTTTGTAACTGAAAGACTCTTGTCAGAGCAGGAACGTGTGGAAGGAGTAAACTCATTTACTTAAAAATGTAATTTCCTATTGATAGCAGCTACTTACACATTTTTATCTAACTCGGGTTTTAAGCAACCTTTGCTCCAATTGTATTGATAGGCACTGGTTCCTGACATGGTAGAAACTCGTTGAAATATGACTAACAAGAAGCAAATTCATAACTGACACTGCTAGATTCCTCAAACATGGGTTCATTTTTAAGAAAATCCCATACTGAACTTATTCATCTGCCATTTTTGATCTAACTTCCAAAGACAAAATACATCAGTTTCAGAAGTTAATTCAGCACTTTCAGTTCATTTCTATAGTAACTTTGCAATAGGAAGGAAGGAATATATAAAGGGAAACTAAAAATTATTAGTAGTAACTTTTAAAATAACTTTTACAAAATATAATTACAAAGGAAATGTTATACCTTTTCCCACATGCATAAGACCTCCTCTGGACCATTTCATCTCTTAATAACTAGTCTACCAAACACTAATACTATCAAAATGCAAAGCTCACTCATGTTTTTGCCTTCTCCTTTCCCCACAACACATATGCAGGTATTAGGTACTTTTTTTACAGAAATGTGATTTTAGATTCTCAAATCTGCAAAGCTGATGTTATTACAAAGCCCCTTCTCTTCATTACTTACTCCAACCATCAGTGCTCTCGTAATGTTGTTTTTTTCCCAGTTTGTTTGCTGCCGAAAAAAATTTGCTCTGGAAAATCTTAAAGAGAAGAGTTTAGGAGAGTTGTAACCTCTGTTATCAAATATGCAATTTATCTCAAAGTTCTATTAGATAAGTATTTTACAGTTGCAATTACATACAACAAATTCTGAAATGACATTAGCAGCTCACACAGAGTCAGCTTTTCCCAAAATGTTATTCCTGGCAAGATCAAAAGCACACACCTGTTGAATGAATGTATGGATAGCCTTAAATAGGAATGAAAGCAAACTGTGTATTTTGAAATAGATGGTTATTTGAGACATTTGTGTATTAATGACCTAGGCCAAGTACTCCAAATGTGGAAATGGCAGCCTGCAGCTGAAATTAGCCACAGAAACTACTGCTTGTTTGCAGGTTGCAGCCATTCTCCCATGTTGAGTCGTATACTGTGTTGACAGTGTATTTTCCTGGGATGCTTCATATGAAGAAATTGGTTAAAAATAAATTTATTCATGAAAAAAAGCCAAGCTCATTCCCTAATAAACTAAGGACAGAGTCTTTGTTACAGTCCCTGACAGTCCTGAGAATTTCAGAGCTTTCTCTAAGCACCAGATAGCCTTGCTATCAGACCGTAGTGTGAAGACTTCTGAATTAGTAAAGAAACAACAGAGATTTGTAAAGGTGATACCCGAGAGACCTGCCACTCACAAATACATTATAAATAGTGTAGAATCCAGAGTATTTTAACTTGTTGTCATATGTGGGATTTTTTTTAACAATTATTTTGAGTTTTCTCTATTGGTGGCTAACACCAAATATGTTACCTGATAGGCAGTATTGTCACCTGGGTGGAGCACAAATTGTACTTGCATCTGCCTCTTGGGGTTTGCCCTGGCAAAATCAAGAACCGCTTCAGTCATGACCTCTGCAATTATATCCACAGGCAGAAAATGCGACCAAATCCCCTCTGCTGGGAAGGAAATAGAAGGAGTCTCCTCACGTGAAATGTAATCCAAGCATCTTGTCACTGCAGCTTTTAGAACCTGCAGGGACAAAAAAAAAAAAAAAAAAAAAAAAAAAAAAGTATTTTAGCTTTCACATCGCTCGACATGAAGATCACCAACTAATATCCAATCTAACCGATCATCACCTCGCATAATAACGCCTTGTGTTGGTATGGTGGCCACACAACATGCAGTACTGACTTGCAGGGCAGATTATGCCCACGTGTTTTTATGAGCTCCTTACAATAGGAAGAATTAAGATGAGGCTTAAGTTCACGGCAAAGAGCTGGACCTCCTATCTGCAGTATTCCCTCCGGAAAACCATGGTGAGGACTGCCATCCTTGACCAAAGAATGAACAATAGCTGTACTCTGAAAGAAAAGAGCACAAAGTTTTAGTATATTTCAAGTTTAGTATTTGCAAGCTTTGCTATTACAAACAGTATTTCCTCTAAGAACAGTTTCTTGCGACTGCAGCGGATGAATTGTTTGAAAGGCTCTCTCGCTGCTACTAGAACAGTACTGGAATACAACAAACATTGTGGCAGTAATTTCTGTGCTTTTTTTAAGAAGCAAGTAGCGTGCATGAGGTCTGTTCAGGTCATCAGAGCATATTCAACAGAATTATTATCGCAGAAACAGGTGTGACCTGTAGGCACCTCACCAAAAGCCTTGAAGACATGTAATATTTTTCAGTGCTGACGAGTTTGAAATACGGTATTTGCTATAAGCAAGTGTCATTCTTGTGATTCAGCTTCCAGTCTAACAACTCTATTGGATTACTCATGACTAAGTCCGTGTATTTCACATCAGATTTTCTAGCTAAAAAAGTTAAATAGTTCAATACAAATGATGCACTCACTTTAAAAACAAAGTGTGCATTGTTTGTGTAAAATAATTTCAGTCTTTTAAGTGTTTGGCAAATAACTTGCGTAGTGACACACAAAAGAACATTTACAGCATGGAAAAAGTGTTTGGCAAAAAATTAGATTTCAAGGGAATGCATGATAAATGTGGACTTCTACAATGTTGATAACAAACACTGACATAGGAGTATACATATTTAACCATCCAACCTTTAGCTACTTCCCATTCTCCCACAGCAATGTGAATACAAAAACAAAATAAAACTTTCTAATATTCAGTAACCTCGCTAAAAACTAACCCACAAAAATACAATTTATTATTTGTTTTAATCTTGTCAAGATGAAAAGATAACTCTTCAGTGAACCCGTACAACACATGTCCTTAACCCCTGGGCTCTAATCTTTTAGAGAGCCAGGGCATCTCTATGGTCAACGTACTGCAGGATAGACTTACCTTCTGCTTTTCAATAAATCCTCTTACGACTTGCAAATAAGTATGTCCATCTTTGATGACAGGTGGGGGCTGGCTTTGCAGAGCTGACAGATTTTCCTCACACAAACTCGCATCACCTAGCCACATTTCACAAGCTTTTTTCATTTCTGCAACTGTGGGCTCACAAATGTTCACCAGACGGATCTCCCTGAGGCAGCTTGGTTGACTTGTCTCAACAAACTCCCTTATAGCCATTACAATCACTTGTGCACACAAATCAACTGGGAAGCCAAAAACACCTGAACTCACTGCTGGGATAGCCACAGACTTTATATTATTTGCTGTGTCATTAGCATACTTCAAAACATTCACGATCGCTTGCTCAAGTAGGCTGCAACAGCTGTCTTTGCCTTGGTCGTGCCATCTTGGACCAACTGCATGGATAATTTTCTTACAAGGAAGTTTTCCTCCACCTGTCACAGCTATTTGGCCAACTGAGACATTTCCATATTTCTGAACATGAAAATTGCTTTCATTTCTTATTTCTGGCCCTCCAGCTTTCAAGAGGGCAAGAGCGAGACCACCCATATGATCTAGATATTCGTTGGCTGCGTTCACCAAAGCATCAGCCTCATGTATCGTGAGATCATCTTTGCAAACAGCAATGTGAATCCCATGCTTTAATTTTTTCCTGTACACTTCATTGGGATGTTTTACACTTTTGAAGGCCAGCGTACAAGCAAACTTCTTGTAAAACAGCTCATTTAGACAGGGCTCTTTTCTCTTAAGAACTTCATAAGCATCTTTACTGATGGGGACCGTTGAGCTTTTCTCATCCATTTCCATGCTTGACCCTAGGATATAAAGTAATATAGAATGAAAAATATGAAACCACTGTCAAGACATTTTTCAATATAGAAGTGTTTCAGAGCTTTCAAATTTATCACAGTCTTCACTTTCTAGTATTTTTTGACATAGTCTGATCTTCCGTCTTTTTCAGAGGCTTAGAAAGCACAAATAAAGCAAAGAAATCAAGGTCCATGAGGACCATGAGGACTTTGCTTTGGAGGAGGAACTGCACTATCTATGCTTGTTCCAGCTGGGTGCCAACACCTTCATTTTCCTGGAAGAATTCTTGTTCCTTATCATGTCCACACTGACTTCCCGGTCTAGTGGCTTCTACTACCCCCCCTGCCTCAAGACCTCCTCCTTTCATTCCAGCCCCTTAATGAGTCACTTCAAAGGCAGTTTCAGGAGCAGGAAAAGCTTGGCTGGACTCTGGAGGCTGATCTGCCTTTGCAGACATGGCCAAGAGATCCCTGGCAGGTTTGAACTTGACAACTATATGTAGTCATTTCCACACCGACTGGCTCAAAATTGATTTGTAGGAGTTCATCAAACTTATCCTCGGAAGTATGCTACCTACTTTTAAGAAGAGTCTAAGATGAACAGGCACTTTCCTAATATATGGGTATATATGCACTCTACGATTCATCAAAGCACTTCTGAGCTCTTCTTTCAAAAGCAAGATGCAGGGCACTCTTGCAAAGCAGTGACTCCTAATGCCGACCCACAGCCTTGCCCAAGTCTGCCCAAAGCAACCCCGAACGTGCGCCTCCCACCTCAGCGCCTTCCAGCCCGCTGGCTGCGGCAAAGAAAGGGACTAACCTGAACCGC